AGCTCGGCCCCTGCCAGGGGCACCTTGTCTCTCAGCTGGGTTTGCAGTGTCTCCAGCTCCTTCCTGCTGCTCTCCTGCTGGTGGCCAAGCGTGTCTTGCAGTTGCTGCAGCTCAGCCCGCAGAGCTGTCATCTCCTCCCTGTGCCGATCCACTGCCCGGCTCAGGTCATCCCTCTCCTGCTCCAGGCTGGTGATCCGGGTGCTCTGCTCCACTCCCACCTGGGTGGGCATGAAACAACAGCTGGGGCTGTGTCGAGGGCGAAACCTCCAGTTTGGGGATGTGTTCATGGTCAGCCCTGGGCCACCGTGACTGTCCCTGCTGGGCACATTGGAGCCCATGCAGGTCACAGCTGTGCATCACCTACTGTCTGGCAGCACCCCTGCAGCACCCATGGCCTCGCCTGCAGCTGGCCGAGGCTCCCTGGGGAGCACTTCCACTTTTGTCAGTAGAAATTCACTTTTATCATGACTTTTTACCCTGACGGAGGAGCAGATGAAGGGTACTGGCTGCTGACCCCTGCTCTGCCCCATCCCCTTCCTGCTCACCCCAGCTACAATCAGCTCCATTTCCTACCAGCTTCTGCTGTTTCCCATGAGCCTGGAAAGCCCTGCTGTCTCACCACAGCTTTGCAGGCATGAAGTACCTTCTGGCAGGGCAGCAAGCCCTGCAAAGGCTGGCGAGGTGTTGGCATGCTCCCTGTCCACGTTCTACAGTGGGGAGAGCCTGCCTGTCCCTGCTCCTGTAAGGATTGTGTCCGATGACCCTGCTGCTGGAGGCTATTGCTCCACAAACCATTGCACCTAGAAGGGTTAAACCCCATGGTGTGACCTTTAAACCCATCTAGATGTGGAGAGGGAGAAGGCAGGGAGTTGGTTAACAGGCCAATGGTTGGTAATGCCTCCTGCATGGGTAACACCTCGCCCAAGCACCTTGACAGCTGGCAGACCTCCCCTGCACCTGGGCTGGTGGTGGGATTGGTGGGGCCACCCAGGAGCTCTCTCACCTGTGTGCGGGACTCCAGGGTGCCCTGGAGGACCTGCAGCTCCTGTCTGCTGGCTGCCAGCTCCTGCTTCAGTGTGTCCAGCACCTCTGCCTGCTCCTGAGACTGTGGGCAAGAAGAGAGGTTGCTGGCCCCAGTGCCCCATGGGGAAGCCCACTGCCCACCCCTGGCGTGCCCCCCTTCCCTACGCACCTTCCTCTGCGCCTGCTCGCTCACCCGCTGGAAGGAGTCCTCCAGCTCCTTCTTCTCCCGCTCCACATCCCCCTGGGCCTGCCTGGCCACTGTCACCTGCTTGGTCACCTCTGCATTCTGGAGTTGGCAGAGAGGGAGCTCAGTGTCCCCTGCTGTCGGGGGGACACGGCTGGGCAGGGGACACTGGGGGGGTCCGGGGAGCCCACCTTCCGCAGCAGGTCGGCGTGGTTCTGCACCAGCTCGCTGTACTTCTCCTTCAGCTTGCTGTAGCGCTGCTCGTTGGCCTGTGCCCGCCCTGCCGTGCACGCCGGGACACCGAGGTGAGCACCTGGGACCCCCACACCCTGGGGCTCCCCCCTCCTGATTCCCCACACCAGGTACCGGCTCTTCCCCCCCAACCCCTCACTTTCGATCTCCGTCAGGCTCCTCTGCGCCTTCTCCGTGTCCTCCCGCTGCTTCTTCAGCTCCTCCAGCTCCGCGCGCAGGAACTCGCTCTCGTCCTGCGCCCGCCGCTTCAGGTGCTGCTGCTCGGCCAGCTCGGCCTCCAGCTCATTCCCGCGGCCCCGCAGCTGCTCTGCGGCCCTTCCGCTCTG